TATAAATAAAATAATAAATAACTAAGTAAACAAGTGAAACTGTCTACATTTTACAGTGATCGGTAATAGCAGAATTTACGGCAGATTATTAATCAAGCAATGCTGATGGAGATATTTCTTTCGCCGGAAACATAGTTAGATATGTTTTATTTATGTTAAGATCATTATGACATTGCGTGACTTATGAAGTGATGTTAAAAGCACCTTAATTGTTTGCATTGATTGCTGTGTTGTTTAATTTTCATTCGATTAAACTTTCCAGCTTTGAAATTGAACACATTCTTGTGATGTATACCTTACACTACTCGCACTCATGCAGGCACGCACAGACCTAACCTTTAGCAACATGCCGGATTACAGTGGCAGGTTATTGTCGTGAAATGTTACTTTATTCCCAATTTTACCGTGGCGGCTTGTCTTTCCCTACGACGAAAGTCAAGTTTGTGGTCCTTATATAAGGCAGCCATGATCCATCTACTTCCGAATTTATTTTTCCTACTCAATGTCCTTCCGTAAACTCAATTGTTAAAACGCGATATCCCCCTATCTCTCAAGGTATGAGTCAAACTTTTGGTTTTCAAACCGTCAGAATAAAATGCTGACTGCAGCCGGGTGCAGACCTCGGCAAGTAGCTAGCAGGCGCTCCAAACGGCCGACTGTAGATCTTGACATCCGAAAATGACTTTAAAAATGTGAAACAAAGCAGAGTGGCTTAAGACGTTCGAAATAATTCTCAATGTGGACATGGCTCTGCCTCTCCCTTATCAAAAGAAAGAATCGAAATTCTTCAAAAATTCTTTAAAATGCTGACTGCAGCCGGGTGCAGACCTCGGCAAGTAGCTAGCAGGCGTTCCAAACGGCCGACTGTAGTTCTTGACACCCGAAATGACTTTAAAAATGTGAAACAAAGCAGAGTGGCTTAAGACGTTCGAAATAATTCTCAATGCGGACAAGGCTCTGCCTCTCCCTTATCAAAAGAAAGAATCGAAATTCTTCATCTTCACAACTTCTCGCTTCTTGTGGTATTGAATATCGGAAAGTTCCTCAACATTCAATTAACAATCCAACATTAAGATGCATATTCTTCAGACTGTTCTCCAAACATTTTCTAAGGTGCTGACAAGGAGAATATGTTAAACAATCAAAAGTTTCTCTAGTTGATATATCTTTTCCTTTATTCTCCTGACCTTAATGTGTGCTTGAAGGGTGATACTGTATGGAAAAATTAGATGCTAGTCACTCATAGGGGTCAAAAGATTAACTTTATAGACCAGAAACTCAATGATTTTTCCTTAACTGCTGTTAATCAACCTTGTTCAAAGGGAGCATCTCTCTTCCATATTCATTGCGCCTCGAGTTCTGTTGCCACCTACAGAGCATCTCGCATTTCGTTTGAAGATATTTAAAATTATGCTTAGTCCCATAAGCAATCGTTTTAAAAAGGCGACATTTACACAGTCTAAGTTTCTATGTACCTAAACTTTCTCCATATATTTAATAATAAAATTTTTTCCCCATAAATGCTAGATATGTCATTTCCGAGGTGCTACAAATAAAAATGCGTGTCGGTCAGCTCACACCTTCGATGCTCGATTCCCTTGAACTCTGCCGCGTGCTTCATGAAAAATACCCACAACTCCCCTGTTTGATGCCTGGTTTACACCAAGAATTTATTTATGGCCGGTTTTGAATCAGTAATGACACGGTGTTCCCCTCAGAGCTCATGCCACTTTTGCGCTTTAAATCTCCTCTGTTAAATCTTGAGAAAGGGTTTTTGGGTAAAAGAGCATAAAGAAGTCTCAGAAAAGAGTTCAATTATTTCCTACACATACTGAATTGGATGCAACTAAACCAGTGAAGCGTTTAAGTCACATTTAAAGGAAAAGCGATAAGTTTTAATACGCTTCACGATTTGGGTTTGAGTTGTAATGTATATTCAATGGCATATTGTCTAGTCCAAAAGAGAAAACAAATTAATCCAGGAGAGACAACTGAATGGTTCTTTCGATTGTATGCAAAAATGTTTTCTTATAGTCGCAGTGGCGTGCAAGAGGTCTTTGACGCTAAATACAGTTTTAGTCTCCAGAAAGAAGAAATATCCCAGCTACCCTCAATACATTTAAATATTTTTATTCGCCTTTGTCACGCGAATTGAACATCTGCTTCAGGTTGGTATTAGATATTCGTAAACTAAACAATCAATTTAAATGCGAAGCCCTATCTTGTTCCCTACGGCTTGAGTGCGATTCCCCTCCTCGTTTATTAAAGTTTTATGAGTTTTCTATAATTACAGTTAATGATAAGTCAAAAAGTGACAGTATGTTTCTGTGTTTTCCAAAACTAGCGGACACTCCTTCACCGAGAAACTTGCGATAGTTGTCAATTAATTCCAGCTCCCCAAAGTTATAAAAATGAGGTTATGAGTGTTGAGGACTACACCGAAACAGGTAATTATCTGTCAATGACACGATTAGTATTGTCTGTTTTGCCTGTAACCATAGTTGCAGAGCGACACATTCTGGAGACAGCTTTATTTTCTTAAAGGTGTTTCACTCCTAAGGAGGAATTACAAAGAACTAATAACATCCCAAAAGGTAAGCTTGTTTTTGGCGTCGTAAGGTTTCAAAAAAATTATTGAGTGTCCTTTTTTACCCCTTCCTTTTTGGAGTAGAGTGGAGTGTTAAAAAACAATTATAGTTCCCGAAAAAATTAGATTAGTGAATCCCTTAAGCTTACACCGGTTTTGAAATAGTAATGACACGGTATTCCCCTCAGTGCTCACGCCAATATTCCAATATTGTGCTGTAAATTTTCTCTGTTGAGCAAGGGTTTTGTGGTAAAAGAGAATAGAGAAGTCTCAGGAAAGAGTTCTATTATTTTCTAAACATATTAAATTGAATGCAACTAAAATAGTGAAGCATTTAGGTCACATTTAAGGAACAACGGTAAATTTTAATACGCTTCACGATTTGGGTTTGAGTTGTAATGTATAATCATTGACATATTGTTTAGTCCAAAAGAGAAAAGGAAGCCGGAAGGGACAACTGGATACTTCTTTCTACTGTATGCAAGTATGTTTTCTTATTGTCACAGGGGCGGCAAAAGGCATTTGACGCTAAATACAGTTTTAGTCTCCAGAAAGGAGAATTATCCTGACTAGCTTCAATACATTAAAATATTTTTATTCGATAGGTCAAAAAGTGACAGTTTGTGTCTGTTTTCCCAAATGTATGAGACACTCTTTTCACTGAGAAACCTGCGATAATTATTAATTAATTCCAGTTCCCCAAAGTTACGAAAATGAGGTTTTGAGTGTTGAGGACTACACCGAAATAGGTAATTATCTGTCAATTACATGCTCGGTACCGTCTGTTTTGGCTGTAACCATAGTTGCAGCACGACACATTCTGGGAACAGCATTCTTTTCTTAACCCTTTAACTACCATGAGTGATCAAGACAGAATTTCTCTTTACTATATCAATACAGTATCATGCAGACAAGTGATGAGAATGAAGAAAAATATCGATTATGGGAATACTTATTGATCCGACACAGTTAGTCTGACGCCATTACTTGACAAGATGGCAGGAAAATTTTAAAGCTAAAAGATTGAGTCAGGAAAGAAAAAGAGGTTTCAGATGGACTGCAGTTGTACTTGCGAACCCAGCCTCACACATTTGGGAAAAAAAATGAATTTTTCATTTTCACGTGGGCTCATTAAAGTGGTGTATCATTATTTTTTTATATTACAGAGCTATCGCCCTACTTCCCCCTGGATATTTACAAAGCGTGTTCAATACAAATTTTAAAGGATTTGTTTTACAACGTTTTTCGAACAAATTAAATTTTGAAGCTTTTTGTCGACGGGCATTGTAATTGCGGTATGGTCAAAACTTTGAAAGCTGAGGTAAATTAATCTTTTCCATGTCAACGCGTTGGGCGTCTTTTCTGTTCCACAATTTTCTCGTGTATGTGTGTTCAATAAGGATTTATGCCGCTCTTTATGCGGTCCACTCTAAGACAATTTTAACTAATAAGCATACGCTGCTTGCAACAGACTCAAGGAAAAAGCTTGATGTAGAATCATATTCTAATCTTGCAGTGTATCGGCTGGTAATACAAACAATCCGATTGTTTGCATGGCAGACAGGCAATTTTGCCTTAAGGAGAGAAGAAAAGTAAAAGCCTTATGTTTCATGTTCTCATCTCTATTCATATCATGTTTAGGCCATCATTTTTTAAGATTAACGACAACTACCTCAAACGCCACATGTTGGGAACATGTCTCTGAAAGATTTGAGGACATTTGATTTTTTTTGGATGTTAAAGGATAAAGGGGGTTCTGTTCTTAGTGAAAAGCGATGAGTCTCATAAAATTTATTTGCAGCCTCGATGATTTATTGCTAAAGCGGTATACAGAGAACTTCAGTGATGTATTACTACGATTTGAAGAGGACCGTTTAGCTTCATGGGTCTCACAAAAAAAAAAACAGACATTGGTTACCAGCCTAACTTAGACTTCGCCATTGTTTCCAGTTTTGTCGGCGCATTAGGAAATATTTGCCCTAGCGACCGGCCAACAGACCAAAGACCTGCCGATGAGGATCAAACAGAACACTTTTGATACGAATTCATCTCTGAGCACAAAGTTCAAACAAATACAAGAAGTTCTCTTTCGGAATCCTTGTCATTTTTTTTCGGTAACGGTCTGTTTTTATAGCGCACGGTTTTACAATTTAGCTTAAGCTAATTAAACATCTAGACATCTAACTTATATTAGTTTGACAGTACTTGTAAAGACAACTCGTTAAACGACGTCAAATAGCTAGTTTAGACCGAGCCATGGTGCTGAATAGATAATTACTTGTCAACTTCGCCAGTTGGACTTTACTCTGGAAAGGACTCTGGAACCTTTGGAAATAGTTTTTCAATGTTTATTTATTTAAAATATTCAATTTTTCCGATTCAACAGGTGAAAAGAATTATGCTGTGGATATTTCGCCACTTACCAGTCCTCCTTTTCCTCTCTAATATTGAGTATGGAACTGCTAATAATCAATGCAGGACAGAGGTAAACATACAAGGTATGGCTCTCAAGCGATCCGTCTTTAAAAGGTGGTCGGTGGCGGCTCCACATCTTTGCGATGTGAAATGTGGACAAGAGATCACGTGCCAGAGCTATAACTACAATAGGAAATACAAGATATGTGAACTTAATAACCGCACCAAGGAGGCAAGACCGGAAAATTTCCTCTCAGCACCTGCATGGTTTTACATCCGGCGACTGAACGGCAGAGGTAAGTAGGCAGAGATCAGAGTACGATGTATCTTTCTAATAAGGATTCTCATCAGCATTTACTTTTTTGTTATTCCAGAGACATAAAGGAAAAAATTTATTCCGAAAACGTGAAGGATAGAAATTCTCCCTGCAATTTTCTCACTCATCTTAGCTTTTCTCCTATTAAAGTTAACATTGACTTAACTTACGACTGCACATCAGCAAAATCGCCTAAAACATATATCAAAACAAAAAGCCAAACTTTTATTGCAGCTCCCTTGGGTTCTATTCCTGATATACCAGCGTTATCTTGTCACGAAATAAAGGCGAGTGAAGGAAAAGACACTATCAGCGGCAAGTACTGGCTGGATCCAACGGGCACTGGGAAGGCAGTATTGATTTACTGTGACATGATTAAAGAGGGTAAGCAGCAGTCTATGAACAAGTAGCTGTAAGCGTTTTGTCGTAGTTTTGGTTTCTTCTTTTTCATTTGATTTAGGCCAGTTTCAATTTCTTTTGTTTCTCTTCGGTTTGAACCACTGTTTCTCCCCTGCATTTTAGATATGGATGCATGCAAGGGAGACAAACATGACTGCGACCCGAATGCAAACTGTACTAACACTTATGGTTCCTATGATTGTGCGTGTATGGAAGGGTACACTGGTGATGGGCACTCATGTGCGGGTAAAGTTACCTTTATTGGTCAAGATGATGAAAGCGCTTGCTTCGTTGTTTCCTGTATTTCTTTTGTTCTTTCTTGCATGCTTTCGCTTGCTTGCTAAGTTTCTCTCTTCCTACCTTTCTTTATTTTCACCTTTCCTTCCGTCTTTCTCTCCTCTATTTTTTTTTATTTCTTGTTTTCTCTGATTACACCGCTTTTATTCCGTAGATGTTTACGAGTGTATAAGAAACCATTCTTTGCTCTGGCGGCAAAAGTGAAAAGTCGCCAAATTTTATAGCATTCTGGCGATCTCCCTTTCTATCAGTGTGATGACGTTCGCCTTGGCATTTTTATCAGCAGTACCGCAATAATTTATTCCTTTTCATTTTTTTACTTTTAAAATATATTTCTAACATCTGTGATTCCTTAGATATTGACGAATGTAAAACAAATCTTTGCTCTTGCCACGTAAATGCTGACTGCCTAAACACCATTGGATCGTACGTTTGTCGTTGTCACACTGGATACATTGGAAACGGCACCACTTGCAATGGTAATTCAATTGTCTTCTTCTACTTCTTCTCGAGTGTTATGAAAATAACCAAGATCTTAGAGCTGTGGCATGCTGAGTTTAAATCTGATGATAAATATAGCCATAGAGTGACAATTCACTTTTGCTTACTTCAAGGTATTTTGTAAAAAAAATACACACACAAACAAATATTGGCTTCAGATGGATTCTCTTTTGTCACTTTCCTTTTTCGTAACCATTGAATAATAATAATAAGCCCTCCCCGAACTGCAGTTAATTTTCACTTGTAGAGGGCAAGAAAAGGAACAGCAGGAGAGAGGAGCATGTCCTCTCTTGGAGAGAGTGGTTCATAAACGTTTCTGATCTGTTTTTACTAAGGCTAATGGTGTAAAAGCGTTAATTGTAATATTTTTTTGGTTTACCTTTCAGCTGATGTGTGCCAATTCCACACTGTTCTGGAAGATTATGACAGAGACGTTAAGAACCGAACCCTGCCTGGATATGTAAAATGTGACCATAATCTGAACTCCGGTTGGTATCGCTTCCTGAACATTTCAGGAATAACAATGCCGACTACATGTCCACCTCGTTACACTTGCAGTACACTATATCCAGGTTGGTTGAAGGGCGATCATCCCACAGTGGATGAGGGAGAAGTAAAAAGGACCGTCTGCTTCAGCAAGGGCTTAGGCTGGTGCTGTGAGGAAGCATCCTTCATTTGGGTGAAGAACTGCAGTTCCTTTTACGTCTACCGTTTGCCATCATTAGCCAAATGTCCGTACCGTTACTGTTTCACGTACAACTAAATATTACAAAACTATGGATACAGTCACTTTTGTCCAGGTTTGATGGCAAGTATCGTTTAGTACGAGCTTTACTATTTATCTACTGGGCTTCTATGTCCCTTTATTTTGATTAAATTAATCAGGTAGAATACCCTCGTGAAAGCGAGAAATGACAAAGACTTGTGAATTAACATTTTAGTAGAAAATGACAGCATCATGTGTAAGAGCTATTGTTTCATAAAGAACTGAATATGTTTTAAATACTCTTCGCTATAAAATAAGTAGATACATTCACAAAAGATAGGTATCAGGATATGATAAAATGTAATGAAACCCTTCGTGAAAAGTAAACCGCCACGTTGCTGAACCAGGCTATCACGGCGACATTGCCATCTTGACACGATAAGAGACAAATGATACAATTTTTTTTTAAGCAGTAAATCGTATTTGCCTTGCTCCCAATATGTGGCTTTGAACTTCAGTTGTTAGTAGCCCCGAGGCACGGGTTTGAAACCCTTCGAAGCCTGGATTTTATTATTTTTTTTTAGTCTTCTATACAGCAATTTCTTAGATTGAAGTTTTTCTAGGAGGATCATTACTTCACTTGAATATAAATGATGCTTTCACCGGCTGCACAGACCGGATTACAGTGGTAGGTTATTGTCGTAAAATGTTTTTTCACAATTTTACCGTGGCGGCCTGTCTTTCCCTACGACAAATGTCAAGTTTGTAGTCCTTATATAAGGCAGCCATGATCCCTCTACTTCAGAATTAATTTTTGCTATCCAATGTCCTTCCGTAAACTCAATTGTTAAAACATGATACCCCCCTTTCCCTCAAGGTATGGGTCTCATTTCTGGTTTTCAAACCGTCAGTATGGAATCAACCTATCATGCTTTCAAATAGGATAGATATCGGTACTTCATCAATATCTTCATAACAAATCGATACTCGTCACTGTTCAATAAGTAGATACAATCACAAAATATAATTATCAGGATATTTATAATCAGGTGTAAGATCGAAGGTTCTTTAAAGAGATTCAAACTGTGTCTATCCTCTAGTTATGAGGTAAGGTGAAGTCGGAGTGGAATTCTAAGCTGAAAAATCAACAACAGTTATAATTTCAGTTTCCAGGATAATTTTTGGTGACATTTTTAGTACTGTGAGTGTTTTATATAGTTTTGGAAATGAGTAACTTAGTACCGTTCGTCATTAGATCTGTAATGTTGCAAGCATTATAAGTAGTATTCCCTGATTCTCTTTGATTTAATATAAATAAAATAACAAATAAAAAAAACAAGTGAATTAATCGATTTGACATATTACAGTGATCGTTAATAGCAGAGTTTACGGTAGATCATTCATCAAGCAAGGCTGATGTAGATATTTCTTTCGCCGGAAACATAGTTAGACATGTTTTATTTATGTTAAGATCATTATGACATTGCGTGACTTATGAAGTGATGTTAATTAAGCACTTTGATTGTTTGCACTGATTGCTGTATTGTTTAATTTTGATTCGATTAAACTTGCCAGCTTTGAAATTAAACACATTCTTGTGATGTATACCCTACGCTACTCGCACTCATGCAAGCACGCACAGACCTAACCTTTAGCAACATGCCGGATTACAGAGGTAGGTTATTGTCGTGAAATGTTATTTTATTCGCAATTTTACCGTGGCGGCCTGTCTTTCCCTACGACGATTGTCAAGGTTGTTGTCCTTATATAAGGCAGCCATGATCCATCTACTTCCGAATTTATTTTTCCTTCCGTAAACTCAGTTGTTATATCCCCCTATCCCTCAAGGTATGAGTCACGTTTCTGGTTTTCAAACCATCAGAATAAAATGCCGACTGCAGCCGGAGGTTCGATAGCAATCTCGTTGATGCTTACCCTCGTTCTGGTAGCATGAATGGACAGCAACTATCGCTCTACCCGCCTGAATAGAATCCCGTCTATAAAACAAGGTTACCCTCAGCATTTTGTTATTTTTCCCTAACGTTTTAAAAGTACGTATTTATACTCTTTGAGTGAGTGATGTTCAGGCTAAGTATAAATGCGGAATGCGAACTGGAGGTTGGATATAAGATGCCACGTGGTTATGATTTATGGCATCACAATTCCGAAGCATCGTATCAATTTTAAGGTAGGTTTTATGGACTACAAATAATCAATCAATATTGCCACTCAGCCATTTTTATCGGGTTTGCAGTCTTCTTTGAGGAATTCATAAATGGACGGTTGGTAAACGGTTGGGGAACAGAGTACCCTTGCACATGTTAGGAATATAGTGTATAAAATTCCCCTAAAATATCTCGAGTTCTTGGAAAAACATAATAAAAGGATGGAAATAGATTGTCTTGAGCATTTTTCTAAAAAGGTAAATACAATTATATAAGACTAACCTCGATAGTCAAGTGGAGAGTGAATGTGTCGGAGACTTCGTGTTACTTGACAGCCGATGTTTAGAATAAGTCCAACCATCAAGAGACAATGAACACTTTAGCTACTGGAACTGATTGACTCTGTCTGATTATTACCTAGCAACCACCAATCACATTATCTAATGTATTACTATAAAGTCCACAAAAATCAAGTGTCCTTCTCAGGTGATAGGAGTAGCTCTTTTGTACTGAGTGAATATTACGAAAGTAAACCCTAGCTGAATACTTAAGTAAACCCTAGTTAACGGGGCCAAGTTCTCGAAAATTATACACCGCCTAAATCATTGGTTAATCCTAGATTATTCTAGAGTTCCCAAAACAGGAGGCAATGATCAAGGTCAATTTTCAATTGTGTGTCGCGTCACCAGCAGGCAGACCGACTCCGCAGTATTAACGCTTTGAAGGTAACATCAAGATTGCAAGACGTCATCCTTTCCTAGATTCAAATGATTTAATGATTTTTGGAAACAATAGAAAAGTTCAAAATGACAGCATTCGTGTAACGGTATTTGTTAATCGTATAAATCAATGGAATGATCACGTTTGAAATGATCATAAAGATTGAGGTCTCAGCAGAAAATTAACAAAAAGCATGATTGGAAACCTTAAGCATTCGGATTGGGATTTCCATAGTTGATTATTCCTCTCTGTCAACACGCAGAAACACACAGAAGAGCTTTATTTCGATACTTTCTGTTGAATATCATAACAAAAAAAAACATTCCGTTTAAACTGTTGTGTTCGTTCAATCAGCGGTAGCAGTTTTGCCTATGTATTTTATTATTATTTTCTACAGAGAACCACATTTCAAGGCTGCGTCATCGATCCCAGCCTTTTTTAGCAAGCACAGATGATCAGTCTGCCGAAGGAAGTTCGTCTACTTGTTGTTGGTGTTACCGTCTTTTATCTTAATGAGGAGTTTAAGAAAATCACGACGGCAACGGCAACGGTAATATCACTAAATAAAAGTTTAAATGAGCAGAACAATGGCTGTGCACATGCGTTATAAATCTTTGTAAATTTTTTTGCGTCTTTTGCAAAACAACAACGTGTAATAACCAAACTTTGCGTCGTCTGGAGAACGTGAACGACGACGGCTAATTTTTTTTAATTCCTATTTCTAATTTAACGCTGCGTTCCATATTTAGTTTCGAGAAAGCTTTGAAAGTGATAAACAAACTAAATGACTTTACAGAATCGCGAGATTCGTAGGTAAAGTATAAGTTCATTTTTTGGGTTGGGTTTTCACTTGAAAGCATCTTCTACAATGTGAAAAGCTTCTTTCGTTGATTTATCATTTTCTTTATTCTCCTGACCTCAATTTGTGCTTCAGGGGTGATATTGTAAGGAGAAATTAGATGCTAGTCATTCTTACAAGTAGGGGCCCAATTGTTAACTTTATAGATCAGAAGTCTAATGATTTTGCCTTAATTGCATTTAGTCGACCTTGTTCAAAGGAAGCAATTCTCTTCTCTATCCATTGCACCTCGAGTTCTGTTGCCACCTACAAAGCATCTCGCATTTCGTTTGCAGATATATTTCAAATCATGCTAAGTCCCATAAGTAATCGTTTCAAAAAGGCGACATTTAAACAGTATAAGTTTCTAAATACCCAAACTTTCTCCATGTATTAAATAATGAAAATTTTTCCCTATAAATGCTAGATATGTCATTTCCGAGGACCTACAAATAAAAATGCGTGTCGGTCAGCTCACATCTTCGACGCTCGATTCACTTTGACTCTGCCGCGCGCCTCATGAAAAATACACACAACTCCCCTGTTTGAAACTCAGTTTACACCAAGAATTTATTTATGGCTGGTTTTGAATCAGTGATGACGCGGTATTCCCTTCAAAGCTCATGCCTCTTTCGTAGTGTAAATCTCCTCTTTTTAGTCTTGAGAAAGGGTTTTTGGGTAAAAGAGCATAAAGAAGTCTCAGAAAAGAGTTCAATTATTTCCTACACATATTGAATTGGATGCAACTAAACCAGTGAAGCGTTTAAGTCACATTTAAGGAACAACGATAAATTTTTATGCGCTTCACTATTTTGGGTTTGAGTTGTAAAGTATATTCAATGACATATTGTTTGTCCAAAAGAGTAGAGGAATTAAGCCAGAAGAGACTGCTGGATGCTTCTTTCAACTGTGCGCAAGCATGTTTTCTTATCGTAACAGTGGCGTGCAAGAGGCATTTGACGCTAAACACAGTTTTAGTCTCCATAAAGAAGAATTATCCTGGCTAGCCTCAATATATTGAAAAATTTGTATTCGTCCTTTGTTACGCGAATTTAACACCTGCTTTGAGATGACATTGGATATTTGTAAACTAAACAACTAATTTAAATGCGAAGGTCGAGATAACAATTGTGTTCTTATTATTCCTATCTTGTTCCCTACAGAGAGAGTGCGAGTTTTCTATAATTACAATCGATGATAAGTCAAAAAGTGGCAGTATGTGTCTGTTTTTCCCAAAACTACGAGACACTCTTTTCACCGAGAAACTTGCGATAACTATTAATTTCGTTCCAGGTCCCCAAAGTTATCAAAATGAGGTTACGAGTGTTGAGGACTACACCGAAACAGGTAATTATCCGTCAATTACACGATTAATATTGTCTGTTTTGACTGTAACCATGGTTGCAAAACGACACATTCTGGAGACAGCTTTATTTTCTTAAAGGTGTTTCACTCCTAAGGGGGAATTACAGAGAACGAATAACATCCCAAAAGGTAAGCTTGTTTTTGGCGTCTTAAGGTTTCAAACAAATTATTGAGTTTTCTTTTTTACTCCTTCCTTTTTGGAGTAGAGTGGAGTGTTAAGAAACAATTATAGTTCCCGAAAAAATTAGATTGGTGAATCCCTCAAGCTTACACCAGTTTTGAAACAGTAATGACACGGTGTTCCCCTCAAAGCTCATGCCATATTTGTGCTGTAAATTTTCTCTGTTGAGCAAGGGTTTTGGGGTAGAAGGGCAAAGAGAAGTCTCAGGAAAGAGTTCAGTTATTTTCTAAACATATTGAATTGGATGTAACTAAACCAGGGAAGCGTTTAGGTCACATTTAAGGAACAACGATAAATCTTAATACGCTTCACTATTTGGGTTTGAGTTGTATTATATAATCAATGACATATTGTTTTTAGTCCCAAAGAGGAAAGGAATTAAGCCGGAAGAGATAACTGAATGATTCTTTCTTCGCATGCAAGTATGTTTTCTTATCGTCACCGGGGCGACAAGAGGCATTTGACGCTAAATACAGTTGTAGTCTCCAGAAAGGAGAATTATCCTAACTAGCCTCAATACGTTAAAATTTTTTTTTTTATTCGTCCTTCGTCACGTGAATTAAGAGGGGTTTTTTTAACACCTGCTTCAAGTTGATATTAGATATTTGTATGTATAGATTATATATATATATATTAGATATTTATATATATGCGATCGTATGTAGAAACTAGGGCTTCTATATATAATCACAGCTGATGATAAGTCAAAAAGTGACAGTTTGTGTCTGTTATTCCCAAAACTACGAGACTCTCTTTTCCCTGAAAACCTGCAATAATCGTTAATTTATTCCGGTTCCCCAAAGTTAGGAAAATTAGGTTATGAGTGTTGATGACTACACCGAAACAGGTAATTATTTGTCAATTACACGTTTGGTATTGTCTGTTTTGGCTGTAACCATAGTTGCAGAACGACACATTCTGGGGACAGCATTCTTTTCTTAATCTTTGAGCTCCCATGAGTGACCAAGACAGAATTTCTCCTTTCTATATCTATATAATATTATGCAGACAAGTGATGAGAACGAAGAAAAATATCAATTATGGGATTACCAATTGATCCGATACCAAATTCTCCAAACTAACATAATGAGAATCATTTGATAGACAGCAATGAGAATTACTAATGACATCTTAGGAGTTAAAGAGTTAAAGGTGTTGCACTCCTTAGGGGGAATTACGCAGAACGAATTGCGTCCTAAAAGGTAAGCTTGTCTTACGTCGTTAGGCTTCATGCAAACTTTAAGTATCTTTTTTAACCCTTTCCTTTTTGGAGTAGAATGAAGCATTAAAAACAATTCTAGTTCCCGAACAAATCAGTTTGGTGAATTCCTCAAGCTTAAAGAACGCTTTAGTTCATTAGCGGCAAATTTCGGGCGCTAAAGTTTGACAATTGGTTGATATGATTGGAGTTTCTTCTCTCCTTTTTCTCTGGAAAGCCAAGAATTTGCAATATGTTTAAATCCTCTAATGCTTCGTCAATTAGAAAAACAAGTCTATGAAATTTTCTAAATTAGAGAGTGAAGTCAGTGCGAAAATGGAAAGCGTAAATAGAATACATGTATATATTTTTGAAAAATTCTTCTCCTCGTATGTCAACTGTTTGCAACGCTAACGAATGAACGTTTGTCTGACGCCATTCAGGGTATGCCTGTTTTTCTGGATGGTAAAGGTAAAGAGAGTTCTGCTCTTAATTATAATGCGATGAGTCTGAAAAAATTTTTTTGCAGCCTTGATGATTTATTAAAAACAGTACACAGAGAACTACAGTGATGTATTACTACGATTTTGAAGGGGACTTTTTTGCAGCATGGGTCTCACAAAACAAACGAATCTTGGTTACCAGCCGAACTTAGAGTTTGCTATTGTTTCAAGTTTCGTCAGTGCATTAGGAAAAATTTGCCTTGGCGACTGGCCAATAGTTGGATGAAAAAAATATGACAAATTTTCCAATTTTTATTGGCGTTGGTCATAAACAAAACAAGAAAAAAGCGAGAGAACTAAATCATATGAACGTGATGATAATAAGTTCTTGAATTTGACAAATGAAGACCAGAGACCTGCTGATGGGGACCTAAGAGAACAGTTTTGATACGAATTCATCTCTGAGCACAAATTTCAAAACAAATACAAGAAGTTCTCTTTTGGAATTTTATCACTTTTTTTCAGTAATGTTCTGTTTTTATAGCGCACGGTTTTACAATCTAGCCTAAGTTAGCTTTACAGTACTTGAAAAGGCAACTCGTTAGACAACATTAAATGGTTAGCTTAGACCAAGCTATGGTGCCGAATAAATTATTCCTTGTCAACTTTACCGGTTAGACTTTACCCTAAAAGGACTCTGAAACCTTTGGAAATAGTTTTCCAATGTTCATTTATCTACAATGGGGCAATGCATTTAATTCAATTTTGCCGATTCAGCAGATGAAAAGAAGTATGCTGTGGATATTTCGTCACTTACCAGTCCTCCTCTTCCTCTCTACTATTGAGTATGGAACTGCTATTGATCAATGCAGGACAGAGGTAAACATACAAGGTATGGCTCTCAAGCGATCCGTCTTTAAAAGGTGGTCGGTGGCGGCTCCACATCTCTGCGATGTGAAATGTGGACAAGAGACCACGTGTCAGAGCTATAACTACAATAGAAAATATAAGATATGTGAACTAAATAACCGCACCAAGGAGGCAAGACCGGAAAATTTCCTCTCAGCACCTGCATGGTTTTACATCCGGCGACTGAACGGCAGAGGTAAGTAGGCAGAGATAATAGTACGATGTATCTTCCTCATTCTGACTCTTATCAGCAATACTCTCTATCCTTGACCAACCCCGTCTCTTCTTGGATTATCATTGCCCAACTTTTGCTTCTTTCTCTTGTTGTGTACTCTGCTTCAAATTGAAGGTAGATTTGCACCTGACAAAAAAGGTTCTCATTTGAAGGACATCGTCGTGCTTTTACTATTACTTTTAGAATTACGATAACGAATGTCATTACCCTTTCAAACGTCAACCTTCTCGGTTAAGTTCATATTCTTGATACTTTTCTCATTAATGCCATGTGAATTTTTTCATTTACTTTGTTGTTGGTTCTGAGAAACAACGGAAAAAACTATTCCGCCTAAAACATAACAAAACAAACAACCATACTTTCATTGCAGCTCCCTTGGGTTCTATTTCTGATTTACCAGCGTTGTCTTGTCGCGAAATAAAGGCGAGTGAAGGAAAAGACACTATCAGCGGCAAGTACTGGCTGGATCCAACCAGCAGTGGGAAGGCAGTATTGATTTACTGCGACATGATTAACGAGGGTAAGCGGCAGTCTGTGAACAAGTAGCTTTAAGGGTTTCGTTTTAGTTTTGGTTTCTTTTTCATTTGAATAAAGCTAGTTTCAATTTCTTTTCTTTCTCTTCGGTTTGAACAACTGTTTCTGCCCTGCATTTTAGATACGGATGAATGCAAAGAAGACAACCATGACTGCGACCCGAATGCAAACTGTACTAACACTTATGGTTCCTATAAGTGTACATGTACGGAAGGGTACACTGGTGATGGGCACTCATGTGCGGGTAAAGTTACTTACCTTTGTTAATCAAGATGATGAAAGCACTTGCTTCATAGTTTCCTGTCTTTCTCCTGTTCTTTCTTGCATGCTTTCGCTTGCTTGTTAAGTTTCTCTCTTCCTATCTTTCTTTATTTTCATCTTTCCTTCCGTCTTTCTCTCTTCTTTTTTTATTTTTTATTTTTTTCATTCCTTGTTTTCTCTAATTACACCGCTTTGATTCCGTAGATGTTTACGAGTGTATAAGAAACCATTCTTGTCAAATAAATAGCAGCTGCACAAACATCAGAGGATCACGATTTTGCGCTTGTCAGGCTGAGGTAATTACCGATGGAAGCAACTGTACAGGTACCATCTTTTTCTTTGGTTTACGCTACAGTTAGGATTTAATGGTGGTGGGTGAAGGGAAGGAGGGGGGGGGCGCTGTTTGCGCAGGTCTTTGATATTCGACAGCCCTGATTGGTTGGATTAGGATGGAGGCTGAAGGGAGAAACCGCTGTTCGCGGTCTATAAAATGCAGTAACGGTGTTGATGATGATGCCGGTTGTCTGATTTATTTTAGAAAGAAATCGGACGATGATGTTTCCACAGTACTACAACTTTCCCGGAAGACGTTTAATAAATCATGTTATCCAAAGCGTAATCGTCAATAACTTGGATTACTGCGTACTTTTTTGCTACCTGAACGACAACTGCGTCAGTCTGAACTTCAAGAAAAATGCAGAGCTTGGGGGAAAAGGCTATATCTGTGAAGCAAATAATGCCACTCATATTGAATATGACGGTGATCTGATACATGATGGCGATTTTTATTATCACGGTTCGAAGGTGAGTAATTGGTTACTCAGATTCTGAAACGTGTCTTTTTGGTCTTTTTGGGAAAGCTTTAATACACTTGTTATTCAACCTCATTAACTCTTTAATTTTTTCTTTGGTTCTGCATTCTTTAATCTTTTCGCTATATGGTTAGTTTGCCTTCATATTTAATCTATCATGTGTACCTTCCATCTTCCCTTCGTCATTTTCTTTACCCATTCAGTCATTCATTTGACCTTACCTTAATTCTGTTTTCCTTTAGAGTGCCTGCGATAAGAATTCCTTGTGCCAAAATAATGCAACTTGTCAGTCTGGTTTTACGTCAAAGGGATATCGATGCTTATGCCCTCCTGGTTTCGAGGGTGAATATTGCGAAAAAGGTACGTTTCAGAATCATTTGGCAAAAATTTCAATCGGATTTTTATGTTACTATACACGACTGCCACTATGGTGGTTAACGTAGCTTTGAAATTTTCTTAATTTTATCAAGTGTTTTTTTTGTTTTAATTTTTGTTTTCCATGTTTCTTTTGAGTGCAATCTGCATAGGTTATATGGCTATCGGAAGAAAAATGACAGACTGACTTTAGCGCCTTTAATAAAAAATATCTTCTTCCTTCTTTATCCCTCCTCCTCTCCTTCTTTCAGTCTGTAACAAGTATCGACGAATGCGCCTGAAAAACACCTCGCAAATGTCACGTGAAGCTACGTATAATAACATTCGTCTGTACCTGCAAACCTGGATTTATCAGAGATAGGCGAAATTGGACAGACGCAGCCAACAGTCTCTTCTTCGTTTTTTATGCCCTTATAACAAAGATGGGGCTTTTGCTCGTCTTTCAGCCCAGTTCTGGCGGCAAAAGTGAAAAGTCGCCAAATTGTATAGCATTCTGGCGATCTCCCATTCTATCAGTGTGATGACGTTCGCCTTGGCATTTTATCGGCAATACCGCAATAATTTATTCCTTTTCATTTTTTTTACTTGTATTTCTTACATCTGTAATTCCTTAGATATTGACGAATGTAAAAGAAATTTTTCCCATTGTCACGTAAATGCTGACTGCCTAAACACCATTGGATCGTTTGTTTGTCGTTGTCACACTGGATACATTGGAGACGGCACCAATTGCAATGGTAACTAGTTTTCTCCTTCTACTTTTTCTCGAGTGTTATAAAAATAACCACGATCTTACAGCTGTGGCATGCCCAGTTCAAATCTGATGATAAAAATAGCCATAGAGTGACATTACACTCTCGCTTACTTCGAGGTACTTTCTAAAAAAACACACAAAATTTGTTTTTTTTGGTTAATCTTTCAGCTGATGTATGCCAATTCCACTCTGTTCTAGAAGATTATGACAGAGACATTAATTACCAAACCCCGCTTGGAGACGAAAAATGTGACGATAATCTGAACTATGGTTGGTATCGCTTCCTGAACATTTCAGGAATAACAATGCCGACTACATGTCCACCTCCTTACACATGCGGCACAACATTTCCAGGTTGGTTGACGGGCGATCATCCCACAGTGGAAGATGGAGAAGTTAGCAGGAGAGTCTGCTTCACCAGGCACTCAAGCCTGTGCTGTTACTATTCTTACTTCATTATGGTGAGGAACTGTACTTCCTTTTACGTCTATCGTTTGATACCAACGAGATGCAACTTCCGGTTCTGTTTCACATACAACTAAGTATTACTAACTTAGCTAACTAACTTAGCCAACTAACTTAACTAACTAACTTATTATTAACTATGAATACAGCCACTTTTGTCCAGGTTTGATTGCATATAATACACCCTCATGAAAGCAAAAATAAAACAACAAAGACTTGTACATTAACATTTCAGTACAAGAGGCTTTAGGGTGAATTTTTAGTAATTGAAAGCACCATGCGTAAGGGCTACTGTTTCATAAAGAAATGAATATGTTTTAAATACTCGTCGCTATAAAATAAGTAAATACATTCACAAAATATAGGTATCAGGATATCATAAAATGTAATGATACCCTTCGTGAAAAGAAAACCGCCATGTGGCTGAACCAAGCTATCACGGCGACATTGCCATCTTTACACGATGAGTCAAAATGATGCACATTTTTTATTCATGCAGTAAATCGTATCTGCCTTGCTCCAAACATGTGGCTTTGAACTTCAGTTGGTAGTAGCCCCGAGGCACGGGTTCGAAGCCCCTCGAAGTCCGAATTTTATTGTTTTTTTTTTTTTAGACTTCTGTCCTGCAATTTCTTAGATTGAAGTTTTTCTAGGAGGATCATTACTTCACTTGAATATAAATGATGCTTTCACCAGCTGCGCGCGGTGAACATATCATCTTTTCAAATAGGATAGATTTCGGTACTTCATAAATATCTTCATAACAAACTGATACTCGTCACTATTCAATAAGTAGATACAATCACAAAATATAATTACCAGGATATTTATAGTCAGATGTAAGATGGAAGGTTCTTTAAAGAGATTCAAACTGTGTCTATCCTCTAGTTATGAGGTAAGGTGAAGTCGGAGTTGAATTCTAAGCTGCAAAATCAACAACAGTTATAATTTCAGTTTCCAAGATAATTTTTGGTGACATTTTTAGTACTGTGAGTGTTGTATATAGTTTTGGAAATGAATAACTCAGTACCCTTAGTCATTAGCTCTGTAATGTTGCAAGCATTATAAGTAGTATTCCCTGATTCTCTTTGATTAATATAAATAAAATAATAAATAAATAAATAAACAAGTGATAATAAGCAACTGTCGATAATATTATATTACAGTGATCGATGATAGCAGAATTTACGGCAAATCATTAAGCAAGGCTGATGTAGATATTTCTTTCGCCGGAAAAATAGTTAGATATGTTTTATTTATGTTAAGATCATTATGACATTGCGTGACTTTTGAAGTGATGTTAATTTAGCACTTTGATTGTTTGCACTGATTGCTGTGTTGTTTAATTTTTATTCGATTAAACTTTCCAGCTTTGAAATTAAACACATTCTTGTGATGTATACCTTACGCTACTCGCACTCACGCAGGCACGAACAGACCTAACCTTTAGAAACATGCCGGATTACAGTGGCAGGTTATTGTCGTGAAATGTTACTTTATTCGCAATTTTACCATGGCGGCCTGTCTTTCCCTACGACGAATGTCAAGTTTGTAGTCCCAAATAATCCATCAGCAGCCATAATCCCTCTACTTCCGAATTTTTTCTACTCAATGTCTTTCCGTAAACTCAATTGTTAAAACACGATATCCCCCTATCCCTCAAGGTATAAGTCACAATTTTGGTTTTCAAACCGTCAAAATAAAATGCCGACTGCAGCCGAAGGGTCTATGGCATTTTCGCCGATGCTTACCCCCGTTCTGGTAGCATGAATAGACTGCAACTATTGCTCTACCCGTCTTAATAGAATCCCGTCTATAAACAAGGTTACCCTCGGCATTTTTTCATGTTTCCCTAACGTTTTAAAAGTACGTATTTATACTCTTTGAATGAGGAGAGGCACTGTGAAGGAAAACAGTCCTGCCACAATCTAGCGCACCAGCCACAAAGTCCCTGCTTCCCCTACTACAGCATAGTTAAGGCTGGGCGAAATGTACAGGCTTAGTATAAATGTGGAATGTGAACTAAAGCTTAGATTAAAAAACAACTTATGATTATTCACTTATGACCCCGAGTGGTCATATGTTAAAGTGGGCCACCACATAGGAAACTCCGAGGAAAACGTCTGTTAAAAAATGAATTTATACTTTTCTTAAGATTTTCGCGAATGGCTGGATTTCCTTACTGTCTTCAACAGCGCAGACCGCAACTTCAGCATAACATATGGACGAAGCGTTGCGGCTTAAATAGAAACGAAGATGATTCGCCTTTTAGTATGCCGGTTTTCAGACCTCGCAAATTCTGATGTTTTCATTTTGTTGTCTTGCAGAGAATGGCTAGAAATGTAAATGATTTTAAAAGGGGCATGCTGAAGTATTGTTTACTCTATAACTCCTTTGTTTAGCCACGTTTTCATTGCCGTTGTCGTGGTTTGTTTTAGGACCCCACTAAGAAAAGTCATACCCGTAACGGTAGCAGTTCAGCCTATGTCTTCTTATTATTTTCTCCAGAGAACCCCATTTCAAGGCCGATTCATCGGTTCCAGCCATATACCTTAAATCGTGTGCATATCATCCAGATTCCGAGTGCTACACCTTCTTTCATAGGAATTTGAGTGATCCGAAATCCTTTTTTTAGAGTGCATAGATGATCAGACTGCAGAAGGAAATTTGTCTACTTGTTGTTGATGTTACCGTCTTTTATCTTAATAAGGGGTTTAAGACACGGCGGCAACGGCAACGGGAACATCACTAAAAAAAAGTTTTAATGAGCAGAACAATGGCTGTGCACGTGCGTCATAAATCTTCGTAAATTTAATTGCGTCCTTTGCAAAATAACAACGCGGGATGACCAAACTTTGCGTCGTCTGGAGAACGATTCAGTTTCGAGAAAGTGTTGACAGTGATAAACAAACTAAATGACTTTTAAGTATCGCGAGATGCGTAAGTAAAGTATAGGTTCATTTTTTAACCGAAGTTGTCCACGGCGCCGCTGTCGTCGTTTCTAAAACTCCCTACTATCGAACAACACTTTAACCACCAGAAGAACTGACACTCTAATGTGTCGATCAATTCGAAGCTTTAATATACCCCACGGGTAACCAACGCGTATTTGCACTTTTGAAGATTGGTTCGTTCAAATTCACATTAACTTTACAGATGAGAAATCCAATGATTTTGCCTTAGCTGCAGTTAATCAACCTTGCTCAAAGGAAGCACCTCTCTTCTCTATCCATTGCACCTCGAGTTCTGTTGCCACCTACAAAGCATCTCACATTTCGTTTGCAGATATATTTCAAATTATGCTTAGTCCCATAAGCAATCGTTTCAAAAAGGCGACATTTAGACAGTATATGTTTCTAAGTACCCAGAATTTCTCCATGCATTTAATAATGAAATCATTTGCCCATAAATGCCGGATATGTCATTTCCGAGGTGCTACAAATAAAAATGTGTGTCGGTCAGCTCACACCTTCGACGCTCGATTCACTTTAACTCTACCGCGTGCTTTATGAAAAATGCGCACATCTCCCCTGTTTGAAACTCAGTTTACACCAAGAATTTAATTTATTAATGGCTGGTTTTGAAACAGTAATGACACGGTGACCCCCATGGTGCTCATGCCACAATTGTGCTGTAAATCTCCTCTGTTTAATTTAGCAAGGGTTTTGGGGTAAAAGAGCATAGAGAGGTATAAGAAAAGGGTTATTTTCTAAGTTATTTTCTATTGTTTTTTAAACACATTGAATTGGATGCAACTAAATCACTGAAGCGTTTAGGTCACATTTAAAGAACAACGACAAGTTTTGATACGCTTCACGATTTGTGTTTGAGTTGTAATGTATATTCAATGCCATTTTGTTTGGTCTAAAAGAGGAAAAGAAGCCGGAAGAGACAACTGGATGCTTTTTTCTACTGTATGTAAGCATGTTTTCGTATTGTCACAGAGGCAGTAAGAGGCAAAATACAGTCTAAGTGTCCAGAAAGGAGAATTATCCTAGCTAGCCTCAATATACTGAAATATTTTTATTTGTCCTTTGTCACGCGAATAAGGAGGGTTTTTAACACCTGCCTCGAGTTGATATTGGACAACAGCTAATTATCTGTCAATTACACGTTAAGTATTGTCTGTTTTGGCTGTAACCATAGTTGCAGAGCGACACATCCTGCAGACAGCATTCTTTTCTCAAAAGTGTTGCAAACAGAAAAGTTTTGATGCGAATTCATCTCTGAGCACAAAGTTTAAAACAAATCCAAGAAGTGCTCTTTCGGAATCCTTATCATTTTTTTTTTGGCAACAATCTGTTTTTCTAGCGCACGGTTTGGTATTGTCCGTTTTGGCTGCAACCAAAATTGCACAGCGACACATTCTGGGAAGAGTATTCTTTCCTTAAAGGTGTTCTACTTCTAAGGAGGAAGTACAGAGAACGAATAATATCCCAAAAGGTAAGCTTGTCTTTGACGTCGTAAGGCTTCATGCAAACTACTGAGTACTCTTTTCTACCCCTTTCTTTTTGGAGTCGAATGGAGAATTTAAAAAACAATTCTAGTTCCCGAAAAAATTATATTGGTGAACCCTCAAGCTTAAATAACGCTTTAGTCCATCAGCAATACATTTTGGGCGCTAAAGTTTGACAACTGGTCGATATGATTGGAGTTTCTTCTCTGCTTTTTCTCTAAAAAGCTAAGAATTTGCAATATGTTTAAATCCTCTAATGCCTCATCAATTAGATTAACATGTCTATTAAATTTGCTCGATAAGAGAGTGAGGTCAGAGTGAAAAGGGAAAGTTTAAACAGAATAAATGTAAATATTTTTTAAAAATTCCGCTCCTCTTATGTTAATTGTTCGCAACGCTAACAAATGAATGTTTGTCAGACGTCAATACTTGACGAGGTGGCAGGAAAGAAAAAGAGGTCTCAGATGGACTGCCGTCGTCCTTGTGAACCCAGCCTCACACATTTGAGCAAAAAAATTGAATTTTTCGTTTTGACGCGGGCTCATTAAAGTGATGCATCATTATTCTATTATAGAGCTATGGCCTTACCTCCCCCCTTAATACATTCAAAGCCTGTTTGACACCTATTCTAAAGGATTTGTTTTACAATGTTTTTCGAACAAGATAAATTTTGAAGCTTTTTGTCAAAGGGCGGTGTTATTGCGGTATCGTCAAAACTTCGAAAGCTGAGTAAAATTAATCTTTTCCATGTCGATGTGTTAGGCGTCTTCTGTTTTCCATAATGACTTTCTCGTGTGTGTGTTGAAGATTTAAGCCGTATTTTATGTGGTCTACTCTAAACAGTTTTAAACTAGTAAGCATTCCCTGCTTGCAAAAGACACAGGGAACAATCAACCATGATTTAGAATCATGTCGTAACCTTGCAGTGTGTCGACTGGTAATAAAAACAGTCCGATTATGGCAGACAGTCAATTTTGTGTCAAGGAGAGAGGAAAAGTAAAAGTCTCATGTGTCATGTTCTCGTCTCACCAATTTCACTATTCTTATCATGTTAAGGCCATCATTTTCTTAGCTTAACGACAACTACTTCAAACGCCATATGTAGGGAACATGTCTCTGAAAGGTTTCAGGACGTGCCTTTTTCTCTGGATATTAAAGGATGAAGAAAGTTCTGCTCTTAGTTATAAAGCGATGAGTCTAAGAATATTTTTTTGCAGTCTTGATGATTTATTTCAAGCGGTATACAGAGAACTACAGTGATGTATCACTACAATTTGAAGGGGACATTTTGCTGCATGGGTCTCACAAAAAGAACGGATCTTGGTTACCAGCCTAACTTAGAGTTCGAACAATAGCGAACTTAGAGATCGCTATTGTTTCAAGTTTTGTTAATGCATTGGGAAAAATTTACCTTGGCAACTGGCCAACAGGTGGATGAAAACATATGATATTTTTTCCAACTTTTATTGGTGTTGGCCATAAACAAAACAAAAGTGACGCTCACTAAATCTTGAGAACTACAGTGATGTATTATTACAATTGGAAAGGGACTTTTTGCTGCATGGGTCTCACAAAAAGAACGGATCTTGGTTACCAGCCTAACTTAGAATTCGCTATTGTATCAAGTTTCGTCAGTGCATTAGGAAAAATTTACCTTGGCAACTGACCAACAGGTGGATGAAAACATATGATATTGTTTCTTAACCTTTATTGGTGTTGGTCATAAAACAAAACAAGAAAAAAGCGACTCTCACTAAATTGTGAGAACAAAACCATATGCACATGATGGTAAAAAGTTCTTAAATTTGACAAATGAAGACAAGAGACCTGCTGATGAGGAGAAAAAAGAACAGTTATGATACGAATTCATCTCTGAGCACAAAGTTCAAAACAAATACAAGAAGCTCTCTTTCGGAATCTTTATCATTTTTTTCGGTAACGATCTGTTTTTACAGCGCACGGTTTTACAATCTAGTCTAAGTTAGTTCGGCAGTAATTGTAAGGACAACTCGTTAAACAACGTTAAATAGCTAGTTTAGACTAGTTGACAAGAATAAATCATTCCTTGTCAACTTTACCGGTTGGACTTTACCCTGAAAGGACTCTGAAAACTTTGGAAATAGTTTTTCAATGTTCGTTTATCTACAACGAGGCAATGCATTTAATTCAATTTTGCCGATTCAGCAGATGAAAAGAATTATGCTGTGGATGATTCGCCACTTACCAGTCCTCCTCTTCCTCTCTACTATTGAGTATGGAAATGCTATTGATCAATGCAGGACAGAGGTAAACATACAAGGTATGGCTCTCAAGCGATCCGTCTTTAAAAGGTGGTCGGTAACGGCTCCACATCTCTGCGATGTGAAATGTGGACAAGAGATCACGTGCCAGAGCTATAACTACAATAGAAAATATAAGATATGTGAACTAAATAACCGCACCAAGGAGGCAAGACCGCAAAATTTCCTCTCAGCACCTGCATGGTTTTACATCCGGCGACTGAACGGCAGAGGTAAGTAGGCAGAGATAAGGGTACGATGTATCTTCCTCATTCGGATTCTTATCAGCAATACTCTCTATCCTTGACCAACCCCGTCTCTTCTTGGATTATCATTGCCCATCTTTTGTTTCTTTCTCTTGTTGTGTACTCTGCTTCAAATTGAAGCTAGATTTGCACCTGACAAAAAAGGTTCTCATTTGAAGGACATCGTCGTGCTTTTACTACTACTTTTAGAATTACGATAACGAATGTCATTACCCTTTCAATCGTCAACCTTCTCGGTTATGTTCATATTCTTGATACTTTTCTCATTAATGCCATGTGAATTTTTTCATTTACTTTGTTGTTGGTTCTGAGAAACAACGGAAAAAAACTATTCCGCCTAAAACATATAACAAAACAAACAACCATACTTTCATTGCAGCTTCCTTGGGTTCTATTTCTGATTTACCAGCGTTGTCTTGTCGCGAAATAAAGGCGAGTGAAGGAAAAGACACTATCAGCGGCAAGTACTGGCTGGATCCAACCAGCAGTGGGAAGGCAGTATTGATTTACTGCGACATGATTAACGAGGGTAAGCGGCAGTCTGTGAACAAGTAGCTTTAAGGGTTTCGTTTTAGTTTTGGTTTCTTTTTCATTTGAATAAAGCCAGTTTCAATTTCTTTTCTTTCTCTTTGGCTTGAATAACTGTTTCTCCCCTGCATTTTAGATACGGATGAATGCAAAGAAGACAACCATGACTGCGACCCGAATGCAAACTGTACTAACACTTATGGTTCCTATAAGTGTACATGTACGGAAGGGTACACTGGTGATGGGCACTCATGTGCGGGTAAAGTTACTTACCCTTGTTAATCAAGATGATGAAAGCACTTGCTTCATAGTTTCCTGTCTTTCTTCTGTTCTTTCTTGCATGCTTTCGCTTGCTTGTTAAGTTTCTCTCTTCCTATCTTTCTTTATTTTCATCTTTCCTTCCGTCTTTCTCTCCTCTTTTTTTATTTTTTATTTTTTTCATTCCTTGTTTTCTCTAATTACACCGCTTTGATTCCGTAGATGTTTACGAGTGTATAAGAAACCATTCTTGTCAAATAAATAGCAGCTGCACAAACATCAGGGGATCACGATTTTGCGCTTGTCAGGCTGAGGTAATTACCGATGGAAGCAACTGTACAGGTACCATCTTTTTCTTTGGTTTACGCTACAGTTAGGATTTAATGGTGGTGGGTGAAGGGGAGGGGGGGGGGCGCTGTCTGCGCAGGTCTTTGATATTCGACAGCCCTGATTGGTTGGATTAGGATGGAGGCTGAAGGGAGAAACCGCTGTTCGCGGTCTATAAAATGCAGTAACGGTGTTGATGATGATGCCGTTTGTCTGATTTATTTTAGAAAGAAATCGGACAATGATGTTTCCACAGTACTACAACTTTCCCGGAAGACGTTTAATAAATCATGTTATCCAAAGCGTAATCGTCAATAACTTGGATTACTGCGTACTTTTTTGCTACCTGAACGACAACTGCGTCAGTCTGAACTTCAAGAAAAATGCAGAGCTTGGGGGAATAGGCTATATCTGTGAAGCAAATAATGCCACTCATATTAAATATGACGGTGATCTGATACATGATGGCGTTTTTTATTATCACGGTTCGAAGGTGAGTAATTGGTTACTCAGATTCTGAAACGTGTCTTTTTGGTCTTTTTGGGAAAGCTTTAATACGCTTGTTATTCAATCTCATTGACTCTTTAATTTTTTCTTTGGTTCTGCATTCTTTAATCTTTTCGCTATATGGTTAGTTTGCCTTCATATTTAATCTATCATGTGTACCTTCCATCTTCCCTTCGTCATTTTCTTTACCCATTCAGTCATTCATTTGACCTTACCGTAATTCTGTTTTCCTTTAGAGTGCCTGCGATAAGAATTCCTTGTGCCAAAATAATGCAACTTGTCAGTCTGGTTTTACGTCAAAGGGATATCGATGCTTATGCCCTCCTGGTTTCGAGGGTGAATATTGCGAAAAAGGTACGTTTCAGAATCATTTGGCAAAAATTTCAATAGGATTTTTATGTTAATATACACGACTGCCACTATGGTGGTTAACGTAGCTTTGAAATTTTCTTAATTTTATCAGGTGTTTTTTTGTTTTAATTTTTGTTTTCCATGTTTCTTTTGAGTGCAATCTGCATAGGTTATATGGCTATCGGAAGAAAAATGACAGACTGACTTTAGCGCCTTTAATAAAAAATATCTTCTTCCTTCTTTATCCCTCCTCCTCTCCTTCTTTCAGTCTGTAACAAGCATCGACGAATGCGCCTGAGCAACTCCTCGCAAATGTCACGTGAAGCTACGTATAATAACATTCGTCTGTACCTGCAAACCTGGATTTATCAGAGATAGGCGAAATTGGACAGACGCAGCCAACAGTCTCTTCTTTGTTTTTAATGCCCTTATAACAAAGATGGGGCTTTTGCTCGTCTTTCAGCCCAGTTCTGGCGGCAAAAGTGAAAAGTCGCCAAATTTATAGCATTCTGACGATCTTCCTTTCTATCAGTGTGATGACGTTCGCCTTGGCATTTTATCGGCAATACCGCAATAATTTATTCCTTTTCATTTTTTTACTTTTAAAATATATTTCTAACATCTGTGATTCCTTAGATATTGACGAATGTGAAAGAAATCTTTCCTCTTGTCACGTAAATGCTGACTGCCTAAACACCATTGGATCGTTTGTTTGTCGTTGTCACACTGGATACATTGGAGACGGCACCAATTGCAATGGTAATTCAATTCTCTCCTTCTACTTTTTCTGAAATGTTATAAAAATAACCACGATCTTAGAGCTGTGGCATGTTGAGTTTAAATCTTATGATAAAAATAGCCATAGAGTGACATTACACTCTCGCTTACTTCGAGGTACTTTCTAAAAAAACACACAAAATTTGTTTTTTTGGTTTACCTTTCAGCTGATGTATGCCAATTCCACTCTGTTCTAGAAGATTATGACAGAGACATTAATTACCAAACCCCGCCTGGAAACGAAAAATGTGACAATAATCTGAACTATGGTTGGTATCGCTTCCTGAACATTTCAGGAATAACAATGCCGACTACATGTCCACCTCCTGACACATGCGGCACAACATTCCCAGGTTGGTTGTCGGGCGATCATCCCACAGTGGAAGATGGAGAAGTTAGCAGGACAGTCTGCTTCACCGGTCGCTCATACGAGTGCTGTTACTATTCTTACAACATCAGGGTGAGGAACTGTACTTCCTTTTACGTCTATCTTTTGATACCAACGAGATGCAACTTCCGGTTCTGTTTCACATACAACTAAATATTACAAAACTATGAATACAGCCACTTTTGTCCAGGTTTGATTGCATATAATACACCCTCATGAAAGCAAAAATAAAACAACAAAGACTTGTACATTAACATTTCAGTACAAAAGAGGCTTTAGGGTGAATTTTTAGTAATTGAAAGCACCATGCGTAAGGGCTACTGTTTCATAAAGAAATGAATATGTTTTAAATACTCGTCGCTATAAAATAAGTAAATACATTCACAAAATATAGGTATCAGGATATCATAAAATGTAATGATACCCTTCGTGAAAAGAAAACCGCCATGTGGCTGAACCAAGCTATCACGGCGACATTGCCATCTTTACACGATGAGTCAAAATGATGCACATTTTTTATTTATGCAGTAAATCGTATCTGCCTTGCTCCAAACATGTGGCTTTGAACTTCAGTTGGTAGTAGCCCCGAGGCACGGGTTCGAAGCCCCTCGAAGCCCGAATTTTATTGTTTGTTTTTTTTTTTTAGACTTCTGTCCTGCAATTTCTTAGATTGAAGTTTTTCTAGGAGGATCATTTCTTCACTTGAATATAAATGATGCTTTCACCAGCTGCGCGCGGTGAACATATCATGTTTTCAAAAGGATAGATTTCGGTACTTCATAAATATCTTCATAACAAATTGATACTCGTCACTATTCAATAAGTAGATACAATCACAAAATATAATTACCAGGATATTTATAATCATATATAAGATTGAAGGTCCTTTAAAGAGATTCAAACTGTGTCTATCCTCTAGTTATGAGGCAAGGTGAAGTCGGAGTTGAATTCTAAGCTGAAAAAGCAACAACAGTTATAATTTCAGTTTCCAGTATAATATTTGGTGACATTTTTAGTACTGTGAGTGTTGTATATAGTTTTGGAAATGAGTAACTCAGTACCGTTAGTCATTAGCTCTGTAATGTTGCAAGTATTATAAGTAGTATTCCCTGATTCTCTTTGATTTAATGTAAATAAAATAACAAATAAAAAAACAAGTGAAACAATCGATTTGACATATTACATTGATCTTTAATAGCAGAGTTTACGGTAGATCATTCATCAAGCAAGGCTGATGTAGATATTTCTTTCGCCAGAAACATAGTTAGATATGTTTTATTTATCTTAAGATCATTATGACATTGCGTGACTTTTGAAGTATTGTTAATTTAGCAATTTGATTGTTTGCACTGATTGCTGTATTGTTTAATTTTGATTCGATTAAACTTGCCAGCTTTGAAATTGAACACATTCTTGTGATGTATACCCTACGCTACTCGCACTCATGCAGGCACGAACAGACCTAACCTTTAGCAACATGTCGGATTACAGTGGTAGGTTATTGTCGTTAAATGTTATTTGTTCGCAATTTTACCGTGGCGGCCTGTCTTTCCCTACGACGATTGTCAAGGTTGTTGTCCTTATATAAGGCAGCCATGATCCATCTACTTCCGAATTTATTTTTCCTTCCGTAAACTCAGTTGTTAAAACACGATATCCCCCTATCCCTCAAGGTATGAGTCACGTTTCTGGTTTTCAAGCCATCAGAATAAAATGCCGAATGCAGCCGGAGGGTCGATAGCAATCTCGTTGATGCTTACCCTCGTTCTGGTAGCATGAATGGACAGCAACTATCGCTCTACCCGCCTGAATAGAATCCCGTCTATAAAACAAGGTTACCCTCAGCATTTTGTCATGTTTCCCTAACGTTTTAAAAGTACGTATTTATACTCTTTGAGTCAGGTAAGGTACTGTGAAGGAAAACGGTCCTGCCACAGTCTAGCGCACCAACCACAAAGTCCCTGCATCCTTAGTTAAGGCTTGCGAAATGTTCAGGCTAAGTATAAATGCGGAATGCGAACTGGAGGTTGGATATAAGATGCCACGTGGTTATGATTTATGGCATCACAATTCCGAAGCATCGTATCAATTTTAAGGTAGGTTTTATGGACTACAAATAATCAATCAATTTTGCCACTCAGCGATTTTTATCGGGTTTGCAGTCTTATTTGAGGAATTCATAAATGGACGGTTGGTAAACGGTTGGGGAACAGAGTACCCTTGCACATGTTAGGAATATAGTGTATAAAACTCCTCTAAAATATCTCAGGTTCTTGGAAAAACATAATAAAAGGATGGAAATAGATTGTCTTGAGCATTTTTCTAAAAAGGTAAACACAATTAAATAAGACTAACCTCGATAGTCAAGTGGAGAGTGAATGTGTCGGAGACTTCATGTTACTTGACAGCCGATGTTTAGAATAAGTCCAACCATCAAGAGACAATGAACACTTTAGCTACTGGAACTGATTGACTCTGTCTGATTATTACCTAGCAACCACCAATCACATTATCTAATGTATTACTATAAAGTCCACAAAAATCAAGTGTCCTTCCCAGGTGATAGGAGTAGCTCTTTTGTACTGAGTGAATATTACGAAAGTAAACCCTAGCTGAATACTTCTAAAGTAAACCCTAGTTAACGGGGCCAAGTTCTCGAAAATTATACACCACCTAAATCATTGGTTAATCCTAGATTATTCTAGAGCTCCCAAAACAGGAGGCAATGATCAAGGTCAATTTTCAATTGAGTGTCGCGAATTCAAAAATCAAAGCAGAGACGGCGGCCAATCGCAACAAAGGAAAATATATCAAGAAGCCAATCAGAACTCAAAGCCGTAAGATCAACCAAACTGTCTTACTCACGGGAAAACGCCAATTATCCATAGTTATAGGAGTCAAGTTTGCTGCTTCTTCTGTTATGCATGATCAGTCTTACTGTACATACGCCAGATTTCTTGACGCCTGAAGGTCTTTGTTATGAATTGAATTCATTGGCTCCAAAATTACACTGTGGACCAATATATCTTTTCTAAGATGCAAGACTTCACGGCGACTTGGCATGGGAGCGGTGAATAACGTTTCCGTCAGTAAGTCAACCACCTTTTTGTTCAAAAGCTGAAGGGGTGGAGAGATGGCTCATAGAACCCTTTGGCGAAAATTTAAATGTTTCTGTCTAATTCGGACAATCTACTAACTGAGTGGGAAATCAGAACCTACCAAAGACAGAGGTTGCCAGAGCTCTCCATGCCTTTCGATCAATGTTGCTAGTAACAGTATAATGATTTTGCAAGAAAGTAATTAAGCTGAACGTTTAGAGGTCATTGTTTTACTAGTCTCAATTTATCTATTCACCGGATCTCTTTTTGTCATGAAGTCTTCTGCTCATGACATTAGTTTGGTCTAATTACTGGTGTTATGGTCTGTTAAACAACAATTAAAACAAGATGGATTAAAATCCTATCAATCCGCGCTTTGTATGCTAGAGTATAAATGTCTCGAACATTTGTCAAACTATGCGTATTTCAAGTGTCCTTTTCCGCGTGTCAGACGTATATTGGTGAAGAGTCACCAACAGGGACCGACTCCGCAGTATTCACGCTTTGAAGGTAAAATCAAGATTGCAAGACGTTATTCCTTCCTAGATTCAAATGATTTAATGATTTTTGGAAACAATAGAAAAATTCAAAATGACAGCATTCGTGTCACGGTATTTGTTAATCGTATAAATCAATGGAATGATCACGTTTGAAATGATCGTAAAGATTGAGGTCTCACCAGAAAATTAGCAAAAAGCACAATGGGCAAACTTAAGCATTCGGATTGGGACTTCCATTGTTGATTTTTCCTCTCTGTCAAAGAAAATAAGCTAATAGCAAACGAAAGACGCAGAAGAGCTTTATTTCAATGCTTTTGCTTAAATATCACGACAAAAAAATCATCCTTTAAAACTGTTGTGTTCATTCAATCAGCGGCTTTCAAAAGGTATCGTTGTGGAAAGTTGGAGTTTTGGCGTGCGTGAAGAAAAGCAGAACTTGATTAGGTGTTAAGTCACGTCATTAGCTGTACTCACTGTTATAACAATGGATATCGGCATTTCAGAAGAATTGGTTAAATTTGTTTTGTAACAGTATAAGTCAATGGTGTTTCCAGTACGTGTTACTGTAAGGAAATCACCAGACAAAAATTAATTATTTTGCAAGCTGAACTTCAACGGCTGGTTAACTCCGGGCGAAGACTTATGAAAGAATGAAACACAATTTTCAATGAATTACAAGATCTGTACGTTTTTTTGAGAGAATAGTTTGTTATTAAGCGCAGCCGCTATCAAGTTGTTCAGTGGTCAAACAATCTGCAATACAAAATAGCTAAACGAGCTAGTGCATGAGTGATGTAGTATCAAGGATGAAACTCGTGGCAATGAAATTATTAAAAAACTGTCTCCCCTACTGTAAAGTTATTGAACCAAATCTTAGAAACACGATATATCTTAAGATCTTTTAACCAATTTCCTCCACTTCAGCCTGCGTTTTCAATTGAGTTGGTACGTTCAAGTACTGGCGAGCAATTTTGAAACAGGAATTCATGCCAACCGGAGACACAATCTTCAAATCATCTTGATATTGCCTCCAGGGTAACTTGAAGGAGTCAAGTTAATTGCCTTAATAGCTCTTTGATCAAGTGTTCCGATATCTTAAAGTGGCTAGATACAGTTTCTATGCTCCGACTGGCTATATTCAGAGACCTCCTAACCCAACTTCCCTCTTTATTTGCAATCGAATAATTTTCTCACGTCTCCTTTCATAAATCATGAATTTTTATGTAAAACGATATCAGTATTGTTTCACATCTATAGCCTCCAGGAGTGTACAATTAAGCAACTACTCATTTATTCATTCATTTATATTTTTGGTGCCAAACCAAGAATATAGCGCTCGCTTTCAAATGTATAAATAGATTCTTTAAATACATGGTAGCGAAAGATGGCGGCCGAGGAGGGTGATGTAAGACAGTCACAAATGTTTGTGTGAGGGAATGTCATCTATGCTTTCTTTCCGGGAAACTAAGTGTGGGAAAACTTGTTTCACTCATGGATATAGTGTGGGCGGGAAATAATGGTTTCCTGTCCTGGGGGAATTAAGAGACAAAGTTACAGTATTCTGTGTCATTCTGTGTCAATTTTCAAGTCTTATTGAGAGTTGATTTAAGTAGCTGATCGCACAACAAAACCATACATTGAAGTAACAATTAGCAAGAGATGACAAATACAAAAGAAGTTTGTTCATAATAATCCGAGAAGGAACGAAAGCAAATCAAAAAGTCTTGTTAGGGGGAGGTTATTAGGATTAAAATATCGTTAAATTTTATCCAGCTTGAAATTTAGCAACGTCGACCACCGAATCATCCGCCCCGTTATTTTTTCCTGATTTCCCCGTAAGTCAGGAACGCTTTGCCGTATATTTGACGTTAAGACTCTCTGACGCTCTATGATGCACCAAAGAAACGTCTCTCATTCGCTCAATGGTGCGCGAATTGCAAAGGAGAAGAAGCTTGATCTCGTTCCCAGGGCTTTTCCCTTAAAACTGGGAAAAGTCATCTAATTTTCAAGGGAAAAGCTTAGCAACGAGGTTGAGAAGAGGCTGCGTAGCATTGTCCCCAGTTCCCAATCTCCTACTCTTTTCTTTCGGGACGTTCTACTCGCTGTTTACCAGTCCTTCAACGGAGGCACTTAAGAATTATTA